GGCCATTACTGAATTGGAAGCAAGCATGAAAAGCTCACTTGAAGAAATACTCGTCCAACTTCCAGACGTACATCGGGCAGCGCAGTTCAACAAAAAGGACCTGTTTATTGTTCTCCAAGCTTTAGTAGGATTTGCCACTGGTACTGCAGGGAGAGATCCATTGGCATTACTTGGGACTTCTTTAACAATTGTCGGACATTTTGCCTCAAAGTGCAATACTGGATCGCTTCAAGACAATAAGGACAAACTCGAAAAATGGCTGATGTTTGGTAAGGAATACGCTGCCCTAGACGACTCTAGTGATCTGGATTTTGACAAAATGGATGTGGGATCTGTACCAGAAATCATGAAGGTATAAGCCCTCTATAGATCTAGATTTCAGCACTTTTAAAGGAAATTTTGCGACCGCCTGACATGAGTTTATTAGAATCTTAAAACACGGCTGGTATAATTATTTCATTGAGACATTGATGGTGGAGATGAAATGTTCACGGTTTCTCTCCTTTTAGCTCATAAAATTCAAAGGAAATTTTGACAAAAAATTTTCTCAACTTTCTTTAAGACTAACCTTGAAATGAACAAGGAAGCACTCACTACGGACCTGGTTTGTATGATAGAGGAGAGGTCACTTCCACGAAACCTTGCAAAGTTCAGGGAACAGATAGAACGATTTTTCATGGCTGGGGGAGCGAGGATTGATCTCATAGCCAAGGTTATTGATCTGGACAATGCAGTTGGTGGATACAACTTCGATATCCCTAATTTAGAGCAAACATCGAATGAAATAGAGAGCTTGCGAAACTCTGGAGGTAAGGATCAATGGTTGATTACACGCATACGTATGTGCAATATGCAGAGTAAAGCAGCAGTCGTTGATATGGAGGCAGACCAATCCAGAACACAACTGAGTATATAAGATATACTCCTGTCCAAATCTAACATATGATATGTTTTTATTACCAAAATCAAAAGTGCAAGATAAATCCTGCTCGCAGGCCCCAAATTCTAAATTTTGACAGAGTATTTCCTGTTTTATTGAGTGTTGAGTACTACTTCTTTGCCTTTTGGACTGGGTGCTTTTTCATCGTGGGGTTACCCCCTCGTTTGCCCGTACTCCACTACGTGGAGAGAAGTAATTGGAAGCAGAAGAGTCTTGCTCAAGAACACAACACAAAGACCCAGTTAGGGCTTGTAACTAGGAGACAATAGGGAGCTTACAAGTCATTCAGCCACCAGCTCTCAAGCAGAGCAATGATCATAGAGCAAGGGGTGGGATGATGTTTTCTCTGGAGAGTGGTAGTTTATCGGTTAACGGACGGGACTCCAGGTCTAGCTAGGATGACTTGATGTTATTATTATGAGTGTAAAAGATCGCACATTTAAGAAACGTTGTATTTGGTTCCTTGTTAACTTTGGTTTGCAGACTTAGACTCTCCAATCGCTGAGAACATACAACAGATGTTCCTCGATGATTTGCTTACTTCTTATCAGCAGATGGAGACAAGTTTTACTCAGAATCTCTATCAGTTTTACAAAGGCTTTGAGTTCCGCTCACTTTGGAAAGTTGGTGATACCTTAGTAGACTTTCAGCGACGAGCAAGCGAAGCTGCTCGGGGGAATGAACAACTTCGAGGTGTACTGGAACTGACTAATGCTTTACAAGAAATCGATTCTATTGAAAGTAAAGGGCGAAAATGCTTCACCAGATTCAAATATTCAACAAATACACACAAATGGTCTTTTAACAGTGTTGAACATGCTACGGTTAGTATTTTAATGGGCGGATATGACTTATTTTGAGATCCAGTCATAGAGGTGTTGCCTTATAAAATTTTGGCGGAAGAAGGGTCGCAGTACAAAGTGGGAAGATTGGGTTCAGGGTTCAGGTTTTCCTGCATTTTGATTGGCTATATTTCCCATAGCATGGTATATATGGAAATTTTTGGAAGATAATAGTCCAGTATGTATGGACAATATATCACTGTAGTTTTTCAAATTTGAAGATCTAAAACTTGGGAAACAACTCATACTACAATTTTAGAGAGGTATTTTCATCGTGATTAATGCTCACTTGCACTCCTTTCGAAGTTGATTAATTTTTAAAAGATGAAGAGCCACTCAAACATTGTTTTCATAGAGCAGGTCGTCAGTCAACCCTTGACAATTCTTCGAGATTAAGAATACCTGAAATGTTAGGTCTTCTTGTTGTTAGGTCTTCTGTTGTCCCTCTTTACTTTGTGAGTTTGAGGATGACTTAGAAAAAGGTTGTTTTCCCTTTTTCTCTATCTTTATGCACTAGCTTTTTGATAATTTGCACAGAGGCAAAGCGACGTTCACCATAGAGGTTTCTGACAATTGCAAGTCATGCTACAATGTTCGTCTTTTGAAGGTAGGAAATATGTCCTCTACTGCTAATGAGCCATACATCGATACCGTATGGCTATAACACTTAAAAGACGACTATGGCTACTAACATAACACATATTTGCTTTAGTTTACTAGTTTTGGTCTTTATTTACTTGGCCTTGTTGCTCTGCATGCTCTCTAACCTTCATGGCAATCGTGCTACTCGCTTGATTTTAATTGTTTTCTTTTTCGTTTTTTTGTTTATGTTTTTTTTCTACTACTCGATATTTCTACTGTGCTGCGTCTTTTGATGAATAGTGAAATGAGCTCAGCGCTTGTAAATACTAGTTCTCAGTATACTCTCAGTTGTAACTTTATGAAATTTTCAGATCGTATGATTCGCGTTGATATTCAGCAGAAGGTTTTCGATCCGTAGCTAGATTTAAGGGAGGCCATTTCGCTTCAGTCGCATTGAGATGCGTTTGATCTGAGTCAATATTTGCTGTAGTTTTACCGTAAATACTACAAGGCGCGTTGTTTTGGATTTCCTTTTAGTTCAAGCCACCAAGCAGCGCTACATCACATCGCATTGACATGATATCTTCATCACTATCATGTTGTTATCATGACAGCTACTATTAAAATCATTAAAGTAAAGTTTTGCGTTTGTGTCTTCTTGCCTGCTGCATGCGTGACTTATTAGTGATTTCTTCTGTTATGGCCTTTCCATCCTGACTGAGAAACAAGAATTGTTCTAATTTCCACTGTGGCTTGGTAGTGACACGTTTGATCTCTCTGCGTGGTTTTGAATCGATGATTAATCAGTCAACAGCTTGATCTTTATTTTTCATAGATGTATGTTGAACTCTATGGAAAAGAAACTCAAAGAGAAAACAACTTTCCAGCAACTGTTTATCTAAGACTGCGACATATGAGTGCCTCGTTTTTCCGAGATGGATATGGAAAAATGAGAGAATTCCGACAACAAAACATGGACGTTTGGAGAAAGTTTGAATTTGACCGATTTGCAATTACAGATACCGCCAAGTGCCAAGCAGAGAAGAAGAAGGGCAACAGTAAGCATTCACACATTGATTGACTATTAAAGAACTGTTCCATGCTTAGCGTGTGTATATCGAGTTATGGATGCACGCGGGAAGTTTGGAGAGCACGAGAGAAGCGTACGAGTTGCTCGAGACGCAGCCGCGAGCAACCCTAGCTTCTTCCTAGGGCCCCGCAGTGACACTCCAAAACTCTCGTTTCTTATTAAGATATTAACAAGATAGGCCACTAAATTACTTAGTAAGCCTTTACGGTTTTGGTGTGCTTTTTAGAGGACTCTCTATTCTGCTTGGAGAGAGACGATGTTCGCTTTCAAGCAATGTGCTGCCATTACCTTAGTGATTCCCCGTGTCAGGACGTGCTGCTTGGAGCAGAAGAGTGTCAGAGTCCATTTGGATCTTACGAGCTGACTATACCTGTAGATGAAGACGTGGATTGTCGACCGGACGGTTCACAGTTAACAAACAAGAATTGCAAAGACTTTGACGTGAGTTTATTTATCACTTACATTGTGCATCGGGGATACCCTACGAATCTTTCAGTGCTAATCTCGAGCTCACCGCCTATTGCAAAAAGTACTGAGCAGTTTTTGACAAGTTGAGAACATTCATTTATACCCCAAGTCGGATAGACAAACCACTAAAACAGAAGTCGTTAGATGAAATAGTCATCCAAAGAGTCGAACTTTCCGAATATAACTGATTATACCTCATAATCTACGTCCTTGACTGAAGCCTTTATGTCGGTGTAATCACACGTGACCGAACATAAAAGCCAGAACACTCTTTCTCAGCCTACTGAAATGACCACCCAAGCAACTGATGCAATATTTTGTTCGTAAAGGGAAAACCACTCTTTGTAGTAACAATGACCTTTATGGCAACTCATTAAATGCATTTTTATCGTGAAGAGAACTTATAATAGAAGGCTTAATTTGTATACTAAAGAGCCGTGTCTTAAAAAGTCAGCTATTAGTTTTAGCAAATATTCTCTGCAAAAGCGATATTTTTTGTACATGTTTTATTCTTAGTGGAAACAAATCTTACATGAGCATCCGATCTCGTCTTTCTTTATTTGTTTCCCCGATTTATACTTCTTTCCTATTTGTAGTTAATATACTTATGATGGGGTTTTTTTCACAGAAGAGCGTCTACACAAATATGAACGTGTGGACACATTATTTATACTGGTCTGACAGATACCCAACCGGACCGAATGATGAGAAATGCGCTGGTCACTCAAGAGCCAAATCTAAAATCTCGGTGTCTCGGGAAGGTTTTTGAGCCTTCCCCAGCTTTAGAGCTCAAGGCATCAAACATCACAGGAAAATAGAAGATACATACAATTAAACGTTTCTGATATCTAAGACGAGAAAAAAAAAGTGATACAAAACAGATAATGCCGAATTGGTGTCAAAAAGGATAAATGGTTTCACACCGTTTATTTTGAGATTGAGTGAATTTTATAATGATAAAATACAAACTAATGAAATAAAAAACACGTTCCTCATACTGCTTTGGGATCGGTCATTATTTGTCGCACTCGGAAAGGGAGAGGAGTTACCCGGGGGAAGGGGTGAGGAGTCGGAGGCGTTTAGTTCTGTCACGACAAAATTAAGTTGATCTCTCTATAAAGCTCTGCAGTATTCTTAGGATCCCCTGGTCATTGGCAAGTAATTGCCATTCAGTCCCCCTCCCTTTCTATTCCGATGTTGGCGACTGATCCCCTATTTGTGACGAAATCCATTCATAATGGATATTAATTGCTGTCATAATTTTTGATGAAATAAATTGCAGTTCGCCTGCATGGGTCATTGCTTTACTTAAGAATACTTTCTCTGGATCTTCCCGCTACAGAAACGAGATTGAACTTTGGAAGGTATGTGAATTGTTTCGCGGTCTATCTTTACAAGCAATAAACTCTCTTGCAGACGAGAAGGAAGCAAACACGAAAACCAGTTGTCTTAATTGTGTATTGCATTCAGCATTGTTTTCCTTTTTTAAGCCAATATAGACGAGTCTGATCAACACGTTGCTCTTGAACTTTTTGAGGATCCAAATGCCCCTCTAAGGGACGCCAGAGGGATAACCAATGAGCGGAACCGTCTGTGTTACACGCTTGTGGTTCCATACAACATAACACTCGAACTGGGTGTGTATATACACTAGCTAATCACAGTTTATGTTTAATGTTTTAGCTCACTACTCTTCGTCCCATTTTCTGATCTATTTTGATGAGTCACCACGTTATTCAAAGTGAAATCATTATTAGGCGAGAGTAAGATAAAATAATTAAAGGACTATTAAAATTTGAAATTCAGCCCCCTGAGTTTTTTCTTTTACTTTCTGCTCCTATTTTAAAACTAATTTTCTTGTTGTAACCGATGAAACATTTTCACAAGAGAATCCTACCGCTAAAAATGTCATTCGTAGCGCAATGCGGGTGTGGGAACAAAGCTCGTGCTTAAATTTTGTGAGAAGAACAACTGAAAAGGACTACATTGAGTATTTTTTACTGCCGTCGTCTATTTTTATTTTCAAAGGATGTACACGAGGTACCTCACAATACTTATAGGAGGGAAAAGAGAGGGCAATCTTTGGGATTTAAAGGAGAAATTTTGATAGACACCAAGGGTGTGTAATGCTCCGTATTGATTGCAATTCCAAATTAATCTTGCAGAAAGGATCGTAATTTTTTTTCTGTCATTGCACTCGTTTTCTTATTGAGAAGATGTTGGTCATGTGTTGGACGTCAAGGTGGAAAGCGGCAGATAATACTGGCCAGCGGTTGCTGGCATCAAGGAACAGTTGTTCGTGAAATGGGTGAGTGACATCTATCATGGATAAAAAAGGTTACATGCCAAGCTGCATTGTTTCAAAGGTCGGTGATTGTAAGCCTCATTATGGTTTACAATGATCGTGTAATAATTACTAGGACTTACTAAGCGAACAAGTCTAAAAAAGAGCCTTCAATGAAACCCCCCATCACATTAGTGGCAGTGATAATTTTCGTGCATTTCTTTAGGTGATAATGTGTGTGCACAATCTTTTCTGTCGCACTTGATTGCTTAGGCGTTCGAAATTCTCGTAAATGATCCTTCGATTGTCCTTAGTACAAAACGAACAAACGCGCTAGGTGCATTGATGAGTTACGTCAGCTCATGGAAGTTAGAGAAATTGCGGTATTCTCATCGCGTCAAAAATTTAGAAAATATTTGTGTATTCGAGTACAAGAAAAATTGTCTTTAACAACCAGGTACAGCACTTCTAAACGAAGACAGGCATGTCCTTCTACACATGGAAAAACACACACTAGTCCTGTATCAATTAGTTTTTGATATCGCCATCTGTTGGACTTTTTCTAAAGTAATATTTGGGCGCCAACATAACTTTTTAACTAAAGTTTTTGCTCAGATCGGACATCATTCGTAGGAACGCACACGGATAAGTTTTCACTTCAAAAAGGATAAGTAATGCAGCGATTACTGGTATTTGTCTCTCTTACGGCTTTAGATCTCGTGTACGGTAAAGGTAAGTGGCTCTGAAATAACCTGTCTCCTTATTTTTTTCTTTTCAGGACGTGTTGGTAAATCTAGGTATCTCTTTCTCACGCGTTGCGCTTTTTCTCGAGAGATTCAGGATCGAAGAGGAAGCTTACTAGCTATAACCTTTGGAAATTGAAAAGAAAAATAAACAAACAAACAAAACTAGAGCCTTCCAATAGTTGGACATGTCTTTTGATTTTGCCTTGGATGTAATAATTCATATGGAGTTTAGTCGATAAAAATTGTTATTGCAATGTTTGTTGAAGCTATTACTATCATTGTCAACCTCAAACTAAGTTTTTTATCGCCATTAAAACATTTTATCTCAGTGTAAATTTGATATGCCAGTCCAAGAACTTAAAGCATTACTTCGATAACTAAGGTAATATCATTAAGCAAACAAGCTACTTATTATAGCTAAGTTCAGGTAAAAAAAGAGAAATTATACATAATGTGGACCCGTATCTGACGAATCATTCACCGACGGCTGATATTTATACGATTCGGTAGGCGGTGCACGGTAGGAATGGAAAAGGTACCAGTTTTATGACGTGCTTGTTTAGCTTTCAACCACCGACTTGAACCATCAAGGAAACCCTTGAACTATTGATGATATACCAGTACAACACCGGTCCAATAAGATTCTATGATCAGGGTAAATCTTTGGAAATAATTTTTTTCCACCTCATGTTATGAGGCAGACTTTCGCGTGTAATGCCTTCAAATAGAATAGTAAAGAAAAAGAAAAACGTTCCTGGGATAGAGTCCACCACCGCACCCAGAATTTGCATGTTTTCGGGTATACAAATTAGGCTGCTACAAGGAACCAGAACAAGAAATTAACACGCCTCATCTTTCCAACAAAAAAGGCTCTGACTACAAATAAATCCCACATACTTAAACGGTGCAGGTAGAATTTAAGACAAAAAAGCTAATTCTGTTTGCTGCTCTTTGCAGAGGATGGATGTGTTACCTTAACCGATGGAGACAAATCTTTCAATGGGGATATCGAATATGTCCCCATGAAATGGTTTGAAACGCCCTCGGTTGTTTCCTTAAGTCCAGGTATTACAAATGTTTAGCCAGCTACGCCAATTCTATATAATGGGACGTTTTCAAAACGTTAACATTCAACTTGGAGTGTAGCATATCTTTATCTTCTATAAAAATAGTCCTCCAACAATATCCAAAGTGTGATTAGTCTGTTGGGAAAATCCTTCAAACAGCTGTTGTCCGTGACAGAGAATCACCCTTCAACAACCTGATCGATCTGAAGTCAGTATCGTTTACCAGAAAAATT